ATGTTCATCTGTTTTGTATCTTAAAGTCCTCATATGAGTGAAGTCATATGACATTTGTCTTTCTCTGACTGACTCATTTCACTTAGCCGAATACCTTCTAGTTCCATCTACATAGTTGCAAATGGCAAGATTTCATTCTTTTTGATTGCCGAGTAATACTCCATTGTATATATATACCACATCTTTACCCATTCATCCATCGATGGACATTTGGGCTCTTTCCATACTTTGGCTATTGTTGATAATACTGCTATAAACATTGGGGTGCATGTATCCCTTCAGAACAGCATACCTGTATCCCTTGGATAAATACCTAGTAGTGCCATTGCTGGGTTGTAGGGTAGCTCTACTTTTAATTTTTTGAGGAACCTCCATACTGTTTTCCAGAGTGGCTGTACCATTTTGGCAGAACCAGATTTTAAACTCATGCTTTCTTTCTTTCTTTTTTTTTTAATGTTTATTTATTTTTGAGAGAGAGCGTGTGTGAGTAGGGAAGGGTCAGAGAGAGATGGAGACACAGAATCTGAAACAGATTACAGGCTCTGAGCCATCAGCACATACCCTGACGTGGGGCTTGAACTCACTAACCATGAGATCATGACCTGAGCCGAAGTCGGACGCTTAACCTACTGAGCCACCCAGGCACCCCTAAACTCACGCTTTCTGATTTCCGATTCTGTACACAGAAAATGGTAACTGCACTTGCACCTACTCCAGTGTACCACAACAGGTATCCCAGTTGGACAGACCACTTTTGAAAGGCCAGGCCATCAGTCCCTGAGATTTAAAAGCATTAAAGTTTTCATTATGAAATTTTTAAAGATCAGAGAAGAGAAAGAAACCCCCTATAATGTTGCTGGCCTTACATAACTATGACTATTATCTTCATGTATTTGCTTTCAGGCTTTTTTGGCATATGAATATATTTCCCTATAGTATATATATATATATATATATTCTTTAGTGTCCTAATTTTTTTTAAGTTTATTTATTTTGAGAGAGACAGTATGTGCATATAAACTGGGGAGGAGCAGAGAGAGAGGGAGAGAGAGAGAACCACATGTAGGCTCCGCACTGTCATTGCAGATCCTGATGCGAGGCTCAAACTCATGAATCATGAGATCATGAGATCATGAGTTGAGCTGAAGTCAGATGCCCAAGCAACTGAGCCACCCAGGTGCCCCAGTATCCTGATATTTTATTTTATTTTATTTTATTTTATTTTATTTTATTTTATTTATTATTATTTTTTTTAAATCTTTATTTTTGAGAGAGACAGAAACAGAGCAAGAGCAGGGGAGGGGCAGAGAGAGAGGGAGACACAGAATCTGAAGCAGGCTCCAGGCTCTGAGCTGTCAGCACAGAGCCCGATGCGGGGCTTGAACTCACGGACCGTGAGATCATGACCTGAGACAAAGTCGGACGTTTAACCGACAGAGCCACCCAGGCGCCCCTCCTGATATTTTAAATATAAGTAGAATTTTCCTACTTCTACCCAGATATTAATGAGTGTCAAGTGATGATGTAAGACTTCTAGCAGTTTGAGAGAAGGATAGCAAGTGAGTGAATGAATGAATGAGCTTGCTTCCATACAAGGAATATTCCTTGTATGGCTGTTTGTGTGTACATGTTTGTGTGCTTGTCACTTGTTTTTTCTGCATTCAGAGAGGAGAACCAGTGTTCTCATTTAAATTTTGTAGAACACTTCAAATATTATGAACAAAGAACATACTCTCCCAACTCAAGTATGTTTTACCTGTTTTTCCAGGTCTTGCTCAAATCCACACCCCCTTTTTAAGCCTTTCTAGATTTCTAACCTGATAATGATCTTTCTCTACTCCAGTCTTCTCAAGAACTTTCTGGCGATACCTCACATTTGGCATTCACCATGCTCTCCACCTGCTAGTTATAATATTTTTTGTCCTGTTTTCTTATACCTTTTTCTATCCACAGCAGCTAATCCAGTGCTTTTTTGTGGTGTCACTTTTGTTTTTTTAGCATTTTGGTATTCAAACCAAAGTGCTATTAATTTCTCTAACATACTAGAATAACTTGAACTTTCTGGCGTGTTCTTCCATGCTGTGTAGGTTCCTATCACTGTAACCATGCCAGAAATGACAGAGAATGAGACTCCTACAAAAAAGCAGCACAGGTATGTAGTCCTGGTCCAGAAATAATATAGTTTGGGGAGATGAACAGAATTAGTCCCCACTTTGTTAAATAGGCAGTCCTCAGGGAACTTTCATTAAATGCCTGGAAGACCATTATTCTTCAGCAATATGTGTGAATAAATAAATACAGGTTTACAGAAAGGAGTACATAGTTAAAATTTACCTGTCCTCCTTATTTTATGGACAGTGTAACGGGAATGACAATGAGCAATTAAAATTGTATAATACCAAATCTATCCTAAGTGTTTAGTTTCTCCTGAAACTTTTACTTGCTCACAGTATCACAGTCTTTGTAGATTGTTAAGTTCATTTAGGCCGAAGTCAATTTGAATAGACATTTTGTGACATTACAATTTTGTGACATTACAATATGCACGTCAGTACAACATTACTTCTGGTTCTTTGTATAAGCCCCCTTCTGAATTTCTAGCATTTTAGGCAGTGTTTCTGCTTAAAATTGCATGATCAGTGCTTTCATTACTATTAAAATCCCCATTCTCTTTCCTTACCAAATAACTGTTAGGGATTGCTAATGTATTGAGTAATTGTACATAAAAGGGAAATCAATGGTTTGAGTAGATTAGCTTTTAAGAAAAACTAAGAGTTTGGATAAGCTAAGGCACACAGATGCAAAAGATGGCTCAAATGCCAACTGTCTATGCATTGGTGCTGGTGGCTGCCATGGTTCCCCACCCCCGGGGATTAAAAAGTTCCATTCTACTGTTGCTTGTACCCCTGACGCACTCACCGCACCCCTTGCCAGGTGCCAGGGCAGACATCAGAAGTCACCTACTTGGTACATCACTTTGAGAGTTGACTAGCTCTTTTATTACATTTTTCAAATAGTTAACGTTTTCAGTGATTGATTTACTTCCCAACCATTGACTTTTGGGTATAGATGAATAGAGAATTGTAGAATTTGGAAATTGTAGATTCTAAATTTATACTGATGTATCTGCAGTTAGGTTTTCATACCATAATAAGATGGTTTCTTACTGATGCAACAAATACAAATTCATAAAATTTCTGTGGTTCTCAACATATAAAGTGGAGAAAATGTTTTCCTGTTATTTTCATGTTCCTTTTATCTGCACTTTTTGTTTCAGAAAGAAAAACCGGGAGACACACAATGCAGGTAGAAACAATTTCAATTGTATTTGTTAGCATTTTTGCATTCACAAGGAAATTATACTGTAGTCGATTGTAAGTTTTTATGTTACAAGCATAGAATCATTATTCCTTATGTTTTAGGAAAATGTTCCTTTACTTTGTTTGTTCCTTTATGGTTTAATTGGCAAAACACCCCTTGAGTCTCATGAAGATAGCTAGTTTATCATCTTCTGATTCATTGTCTATTTAGATAACTCGAGGACTAATACGCCGTTGGAACTAGTGTTTTAAGTGATTTCACCCACTGAGGAAATTGAGCTCTACTTCTCCCAAATGGGATAAAGAGAATGTGTCTGCAGAAGTTCCAGAGGGAGCTGGCTGCCCAGAGGAGCAGGGGAGAGATGAACAGCAGGCTGTGGAGCTTAAAAGTCCCTGAAATGTGAACAGTCTTAAATGAAGTTGTGGAGTCCTCAGTCACAGCAAGAAATGTAGAAAATAAATGTTTGATTTTATCTCAAACGTCCAGATTATAGGCCAAAGCCAGATAAACATTTATAGAAGTGATTGTGCCTACATTTATATTTTGGTACATTTTAGAACACTTTCTTTTCCAGGGGTTACAGTCAGATTGAAAACAAAATATTTTAGAAGTTAATGACTATTACTCTATAACTGATATTCTTCCTTTCCCTAAGGAAAGGACCCTGGGGGAATTTTTGTCTATGGGAAGATGGGGTGAACACTGATGGAATATTGCTGTTTTCCAGAATGAGAATTTCCTGCCTTTGAATTCCCCTTTATCACTGTGGGTCTCAATGTTGGTTTTTTCTACCTCCATACATGAAAAAATCCACTCCTGGGTGATAACAAATACTGTTATTAGAGAATTTAGAAAAAAGGTGATATCATACTTTATTGTTTTCCCTTCTTTGGCCAAATGAATTAAATCTAATCTTTTTAGCCATAGGAGCTAAGTATTTTTATTGGAACCAACTCACATGGTGTCATAAATATGTCCTGATAGTAATTTATTATGAGAGAGTAATTAGATGTCATTGAAAATATGTCTTTACTGCTAGACTGTGAAGCAAAAAGTATGATTTTGCAAAACAAGAGCTGCTTATGGTTAATCTGAAAGATCACTGGAATCTTTTGTTAGGAAGGGAGGTTTTAGAAACCCTTCTGACAGTAAAAGCCAAGACTAATAATATTTCTACTTACAGTGTCTTATTGAAATTATTTAGATCATCTCATTCCCTCTTGCCCTTTCCATACAATCTTTAAAGTTGTGGCATGTAAGCCTGGAAGATTTCTCAGTTAATTTGGTTGAGATGTTGTCAGTTGCCCAGTTTCTTATGGGAAAAATCCTATGTGCCCAGAGTGAATAAACCAGACTCCTAGAAATTTTAAGTCGTAACTGATAGCTGTTCTATTTCAAAAATGCCTTCTAGACATCCTAAAAGGTGTTTGAAGGTTCTGTAATCTGTCTAAATAGGTCTCATTTGCCTATTTGCTATAAAAAGGCAGCTTTCTACTAACTTAGCTTGTTAGTAGGGGTTCTTAAAATTTAGTTATCACTAAAATGTCCAGTAATTACTTGAAACATAATAATGGCCTAACAGTAAAGTAATATTAGCATTTTCTGTTTTTGAGTTTAATTATTATAGATCACATTTTTAAAATGCTTATAAAAGTATTGCTTATATCAGTGCCCATAATGCTAGACTTATAATGCAGCATTCTTAGAAATTGTCTTGTAGTTATTTGTCTTCAGTAGATACTGTTTGATAAAATTTTGTTAGAGATTTCTTTACCTAAAATTTCTTTACCCAGGGAGAATAGTGAACTATAGCAGTGTACCATAAGGTCTGATAAATGGATTTTTCCCCCTATCTAGTGGAGAGGCATAGAAAGAAGAAAATCAATGCTGGAATAAACAGGATAGGAGAGCTGATCCCATGTTCTCCTGCCCTGAAGCAGGTAAGAAGTCTACTCCTATTTTCATTCATTACTTGTGAACAGATAATTCCCTAAGTTGTTTCATTGCTCAGAGTGCTTATTTTTGTTTCCTGTCACTTTTGGTTTTTGGAGTTAATCATCACCTCATTGTTTTTCATTTGCTTAATTTTCTATATACCTATCTTTAATTTTTCCCATACTGATAACAGTCTTCTAGTAGAGTATTCTACATGATCAAGTGGACCATATAATTTCTAGATCTTTAAGATCTTGAATTATTCAGTCCCACGATTACATTCATTTCTGTGCTACAGTACTTACCAGGCATTTCTTTTATTTTCTGCCAATGATATTTTTCAATTACCTTTAAATTCTTACCTAGAATCTTCCAAGGATCTCTATTTTATTTTCCGTGCCCTGTCAGCCTCCACTGGCACTTAAATCCCAGCTTATTAAAGTTTTCTCTCATGAAGATAGCTTTTTGTTTCTTCTGATAATGAGGATAAAGTGTGCTTACTGAAAACAAAACAAAATGGAAACAATATGGAAGTCATAAAAAATTTGAAAAATAAGTTGACATCCTACTCCTAGGTTGTAACTACTATTACAAATGTTGTTACACATCTCTTTGGACATTGCTTTATGAATATATATGTATATATATATATTTGTAAAATATGTTTCATATATATATTCATAAAATGTTTCATAACCTGCCTTGTCATTTTCACTCAGTCGTACATAGTAGACTTTTTTTCATCTGATCTCCTTTCTTTTTAATGATTATATAGTGTTTCATGATAGTGAGATATCATAATTCGTGTTAGCCTTTTTTGGTTAATTGTTAAGTTAATATATAAACATAACAAATAGTACTAAAAAGCTTAAAACAACATTAGTCTCTGGCTTGCCTGCCTCCCACATCCAATACAGCAACTTAAAGGCATCCATTCTCTACTGTTTCTTTTGGCATTCACCTTTATATTTTGAAATAATATGCGTATATTATTGTATCATACTTTTTCTATTTTAGATTTTATCTATTGACTTTCCCTTGTTAAATCCTCCCAATATAATTCCACAACTTTTGATTAAATCAGTATTCAGTTCTTATGTTATTAAGACTGTAAATATTGTTTATGGTGAGCCAAAGATTAGTATTATTATGTTTTGTTTCATATGAAACTTTTTTGGGGGAGGGTTGGTAATTGCCTCATTGTTATCAATTTATATATACCTATCTTTTTATTTACTTATTTATTTACTTTAGATTTTTTTAATTTATGTTTTATTTTTTATTTTTATGTAAGCTGTACACCCAGTGTAGGAAGTCATGACCCCGAGATCGAGTTGCATGCTCTACTAACCGAACCAGCCATGTGCCCCTCTATATACCTATCTTTATTTCTTTCCACACTTTCAACAGTCCCTTAGTAGAGTTTCTACATAGTCAAGTGTACCACATAATTTCTATTTTCTCCTTTTTCCTTTGAAACTTTCCTTCTGGAACCCTCTGCCCTTCTTCAATCTCAACTGGTTGGTCTTTTGCAACTCTTCTGTTTTTTCTTTCTTTCTTTCTTTCTTTCTTTCTTTCTTTCTTTCTTTCTTTCTTTTCTTTTTCTTTTCTTTTTCTTTCTTTTCCTTTTTCCTTCCTTCCTTCCTTCCTTCCTTCCTTCCTTCCTTCCTTCCTTCCTTTCTTTCTTCTTCTTCTTTTTCTTTCTTTCTAGTAGGCTTCACACCCAGTGCAGAGCCCAGGGCAGGGCTCTACCTCATGACCCTGAGATCAAGACCTGAGCTGAGATCAAGAGTTGGACGCTTAACCAATTGAGCCACCCAGGCACCCCTCTAACTCTTCTGTTTTTAATTTCAGGTCTCATGATTTTAATTTCCAAGAGTCTTTTTCCTATTCTCTTTGTCCTTTTTCATGTCACATATTTTGTTTCATGAATACAATACCATCGTATCTCTGAGAATGTTATATAGGTTTTTTTAAAATAATTTTTCTTCTGTTTTCCATATTGTCTTTCTTCTGATTTTTTTCCCCCTTTGTTTTGAGGTTTTGTTTTTCATTTTGGAGACTTTCCTTAAATGCTTGGTGATACTTAACTGTTTTCATATTTGAGAATGAGGCATTAAAATTTAAAAGCTGATTGAATAGGTTGATTTTTGGTGCCCTAACTATTGAGTGATTAGGTGGTAAGCTAGTGTTGTTGTTTTTGTGGAACTAAAAAATATCAGTATCTTTTTATTTTGGGGGTAGCCGTTAACTTTTACCTTCCAGAGAAGAATCCTTCAGCCCCCGATCGAGGAATGGAAAGGAGTTTAAAACTGGTTGCCATATTCTGGGAGCTGGGTGGGGGAAGGTGTGCTGCTTTAGGAGGAGAATTTTACTTTACCCTCCTGTCTTCACTGAGGAGTCTCATCTTGTCCACTTCTGTGCCATGCATCTCCGAGGCTGAAATTCTCTGGTTCAAATTTCACAGAAAACAAACTTGTCTCTTGTGGTTGGGCAGGAATGAGAAGTCATGAAGCTGCATAGGATATGTGTGTGTGCTGAGGGTGGAGGGTAGTTTTATTACTGCGTAAGAAGAGTCTTTCCACCAGTCCCCTCAATTTTGATCCCATACCTCACCCTACCTTTTGTGGTGGCTAGAGAGCTTCCCATTCCTGGACCTCCCCAGGCTTTCAGATGGCCAGATCAGTTCCTTCTGCAGGATGGTACTTTTGTCTTGCATAAACCTGTTATCTATCTATCTATCTATCTACTTAAAGTACTTTGTTTTCTTACATGATTGCAAATTTAAGGGTAGGCTCTATGTCTGCAGATTTTGTTTTTTTTCTCCACATCTCAATGTACAGTAGCTTCTCAGGAAATATTGATGTTTGCCCAGGAAAATCTTATTTTCCTGCTTTTGACGGTCATTCCTACAAGTTTCTCTGAAAGGAAACTATGATCATTTCACTTCCTTGGTGTCCTAGCATGTGCGGTGGAAGTCAGTATTTGGCTTCCAGAAGCCGAGTAGATTAAGATTTTCTTCACTATTTCTATGTGTCCTCCCTCAGCCCATCTGCAGTAGGGAGGCAGATGGGCATTATTTTGTTCTGCCTTTGTATCAGTTCTTCCTTTAAGAAAGAACAATATCAGGGCGTGTAGGCGCTCAGTTGGTTGAGTGTCTGACTCTTGATTTAGATTTAGGTCATGATCCCAGGGTCATGGGATTGAGCCTTGTGTTGGGCTCTGCACTGAGCATGGAGCCTGCTTAAGATTCTCTCTCCCTCTCACTCTCTGTCCCTCTACTTCTGCCCCTCTCCCCTGCTCGTGCTCTCTTAAAAAAAAAAAAAAAAATTAAATAAATAAACGAAATTTTACAAAAAGGCAATAACTATTTTTTCTCTCTAGAGTAAAACGTTTCCTAGATTATATTGGGTCTCTGTTGGGACCCAGTCTAAGAAGCCCAGAATTGCAATTTTGTGAACCAAAGCCCTAAATCCCTGATTTCCTACCTGAAAAGAACTATCTGATAAAGTACTGGGGATATTTAATAATAAGCATACTGGAATAGAAGTTAAACATTCACTGCAATATTTTTAATAGCTGAAGAATAAGAAACCAAAATGCCTCTTGGTTAAATAGTTATCATACTATACTGGAAAATAAAATAAATACAGCCTTTAGAAAGTATAACATAGATATCTAAACCCTATATGGAAGTATCTCCAAGATATATTTGTAAATAGAAAACAACAATGTAGCATACTGCTTATAGTATCCTTCTATCTGTTTTTTGTTTGTTTGTTTGTTTTTAAAGAAAGATCCATGTATCAGCATAGAATATTTCTGGGAGGATACACAAATAACTATGACTGTTACCTCTGGAAAAAGGTATAGAGAGCTAAAGCGAAAAAGAATGTCACTTATGTTTTATTTTTAACAATTGTTCATAGGATACAAACAATATTAAAGTCTAGAATCCTTACAGGGCCTTGAAGGCCCTCTCCAGCCTCTTCTCCTCCCACTCTTCCCCTATATACTTTAGTTCTGCTCACCTCACCAGGGCCCCTCCAACGTGCCAACACAGCCCTGCCTAAGGGCCTTGTCCTTGCAGATCCTGCTACCTGGACCCTCTTCCTCCAGATATCCACGGGGTTTACTTCCTTCAGGTTTTTGCTTTGCCTCACAGAGAGGCCTTCTCCAGCCTTCCCATGCAAGATAGATTACAGTACAGTGCCTTAGTTTGGGCTCCTATAAGAAAAATACTATAGACTGAGTGATTTAAACAACAGAAATTTATTTCTCATGGTTCTGGAGGCTGGGAAGTCCAAGATAGAGGTGCCAGCTGGTGTGGTTCCTGGTGTCTGCTCTTCCTGATTATGTCCTTGTGTGACAGGGAGTGCAGTCACCTCTCTCATGTCTTTTCTTCTAAGGGCACTGATGTCATTCATGAGGGATACACGCTCATGACCTAATTACCTCCCAGAGGCCCACCTCCAACTACCATCATATCAGGGATCAGGGTTTCAACATGAATTATAGGGGGACACAAACATTCAGTTCATAGGACAGAGTGACCTTTGCCATCTCTCTGGGCCCCTATTTACTCTGTTTTATTTTCTCTTCCTAGCACTTAGCTCTACCCAACTGTATGTATGGAAAATACTCCTGAAGGTCAGGAATTTTCTCCGTTTTGTTTATTACATCCCCAGTGCCTAGAACAGAGCCTGACGCATAGTGGCTGTTCAAATTTAAATACTTAGTAAATGAAAAATGAACAGCAGAAGCATTTGAATATGGTGCCCATTTTAAATTTTGAAAAGACCCATATCACATATATGTGATAAAACCAAAGCTTTAAGTTTCTTCTGGCAAGTTCTTACTCTTCAGTGAAACTTTTAAGTGGTTAATTCTCTTTGGCAGAGCAAGAATATGATCCTGGACCAAGCCTTTAAATATATAACAGAACTGAAAAGGCAAAATGATGAACTCCTGCTTAATGGAGGAAACAATGAACAAGGTAAAGATTTGAAGATTCTTCATTTTTGTTGTTTTTTCAGTGTTCAGGTCTTCGTGTCACAGGGCAACTTATATGAGGATACAGAGACTTTTTTTGACCAGAAACATTGTTAAGATTGTCCATGCATTCGGTGGGCCAGAGAATAGTGTTGCAAATAAATTCATCTTAGTTTACCTCTTTTCCCTCTTCTGTGAGCAACTCTAATCTTGCAGGCATACATAATTTTGATTTTGGACTCTTCCGTGCACTTCATATTTGCTGAGCTCATGAGACAAATAATGCTGGGTCGCTTTTATTCCACTTGGATCTTCCAGCTAGGGGAATCCCGTGAGAGGATATAGGGGAGAGTCCTGCTCAGTGTAACTTAAAAACAAAACAAAGACCTGCCTGGGCCAAGATTTAACTGTGACTTAACTCAAAAGGTCAAAACATTCCGTTCATAATTGTTTATACTGCATGTAATGTGTGTATCAGACTGCCTGATCATTTAATGAAATTTGATTTTTATTATTATTCTTTAGATAATTACATTAAAAAATAAGTTTTTATTTTAATTCTAGTACAGTTAATACATAATGTTATATTAGTTTCAGGTATACTGAAATTTGATTTTTAATTAGAAGTGACATTTTTATGCTATATAAGTTCTGTTTTTCCATTTGCACTAGAGAGATTTCCTTGTAAGAGCTGAAAAGAAAAATGCCAGGCAAGTGAAAAGCTCAGAATGGTAGGCAGTTTGAATTGTCCTTTATTTATGGCTCTGACAAACACAGAGAAAGAATTTCCTGGGACAACTCAGTAGGTCACCTTAAAAGGAGAGGAACAAAGGTAGAATTTGCTGAGGTGGGGGCAGTGTTGGGCTACTTTTATTGTATATCCAGAAGGTCAGCATTCTGAATTCTCTTTGCTTGCCTTAAGTTAGATGACAGCTTACCCCCTCCCCCACGTCAGCTGTCTTTTACAGTCCAGGCCCTGTTTTATGATGCTGTTAGGTAGTTAGATTCGTCATACATGTTTGGTAAGCACTCTGAGGCATCCCATAGAAGAGATATTAAGACTGGAATGATGTGTAGACTTTTCTAAGTAGAGCTTCTTTGGTTTCACACCCCAGAGGCTGAGGCAGTTGAGTTACATTAGGGAAAAGGGAATGTTTTGGAAAAATATAAGTTGCATAGGGCTCAGGAAAGGCTGAACAGGTAGGCCAGGGCTTGGGGCAGCACCTGAGGCAGCTTAAGTCTCACTACATTGTCATCTCTGTCACCATCCTTTCTTTGGCTCTTTTTTGTGCATCTGCTCTCTTCTCTTTTCTCCTCCCAGAAACTTCCCACATATCCTCTGTCCATAAGACAGGCTGGGCCATAGTCTGAGCCTGATTCCCAGCGGCCTTGGGAATCAGGCCCACCTGGGTTGAGTTTCATCTTCACTTACGCACTCAGTACCTGTGGCTATTCACCTCTCTGATCTCAGTTTCCCCATCTTAAAATGAAGATAATCACAGCACGTGTCTGGTTGACTTTAGACAAATTTATGTAATTACTCTGAGTCTGTTTCTCACATCTTAAAATACTGATGAGAGTAGGTAGTTCCCATCTCATGGTTGTTATGAGGATTAAAAGAAATAATGCAGGTAAAGTACTTTGAGTAAAGTTGGCATATAGTAATTACCATCATCATTGTTGTTATTATTATGAAATGAGACAATGAATGAAAAGTGCCAGGCATGTAGTAAGTGTGTAATAAGTGAAGACAATCATCATTATTATTTGGTCCATAAAAATTGTCCCTTAACTTCTGATGCCCATGGCACATTGGCATCATTCTTCTGTGTCTCTTATTTTAAATGTCTGAGAAAAAGAATCCATTAGTCTCAGCTCATCCTTTTCAGAACAGAACTTTTTATTTCAGGCCACTTCACAGGGCATTGGCTTTGAAGATTGGCTGCCTTTGGTGGATGGGGAGGGGAGAGATCTACCACTGTGGCAAGACAGGTGGGATGTCTGGGGTCACAGAGCATAAATACCAACAGCGAAGGCTGCCCCAGTAGTAGCATCCATGGATGAAGTTCTCTCCCTTAGAAAAGAGTAGGGCTGTGACAGTCGCATATGTCCATTGGCCCTGTCAAGGGAGATTGAAGTTCCGTTATTGATGCTTTCTTTGGTGCTCTACTACTTTACCTTCAACCTGTTTCACTGTCTCTGGCATTTCAAAGAGTAAAATAGAAGTGAGTTTAAAGCCATTTATAAAAGAGACTGACTATTACCACCACAAGTAATGTTAGCTGTTATAGCATGTAAATGCTATTATATTGATATTCAGTGTTATTTTCCTAGCATGTGACCATGATATCAGTGTGCCTTCCCTTCTTTTACCTTGGTAGCTGCCCCATTGGGAATTTTTGAATTGGGAATTTTGAGATTTCTACATTATGGGTAATTTCTGACCTTACTTTTAAAGATATTTATTTTTAAAAGGATAGGATAGAGGCTTGTTACACCAACGTAAAAAGGAGAAAGAACTTGCATTAGAAAAGAACTGAAGATTCTCAGATGAGGTATTTCGAAATGCTAGAATTAGACTTTGGTAGTTAGCACACAGTTTTTTCTTAAGTTACTGTAAGTACTGACACTACCAGGTAATTGTTTCATTTTTATTTTTAATATTGTAGCTGAAGAAATTAAAAAGCTACGTAAACAATTGGAAGAAATTCAAAAAGAAAATGGCCGATATATTGAATTACTGAAAGCAAATGACATATGCCTATATGATGACCCTACAATCCACTGGAAAGGAAATCTTAAAAACTCAAAGGTCTCTGTTGTTATTCCCAGTGATCAGGTTCAAAAAAATATCATTGTTTATTCCAACGGGAGTCAGCCTTGTGGAAATAGCCAGGGAACAGCTGTTCAGGGGATAACCTTTAATGTTGGTCATAATTTACAAAAGCAGACCGCCAATGTGGTGCCAGTACAGAGGACTTGCAATCTTGTGACTCCTGTGTCTATTTCTGGAGTTTACCCTTCTGAAAACAAGCCATGGCATCAGACCACAGTTTCTGCATTGGCTGCCAACCAGCCTGTTCCTCTTTGTCTTCCTGCTACCATTCCTGCTCAAAATATTCTCGAGCTTTCCACCTCCGAAAGCGAATCGAGCGTGCTTGGTGCCACCAACGGCCCACTGATCGCAGTTCCCATTGGGCCTGAACCTCACCAACATCGTTCCGTGCACACGTGTCTAAGTGATCAAAGTTCTCCTGAAAATAAGAATGGGCAAGAGAGCCCCAAATTATTGAAGAAGACAGTCCCTTGTGCCACAGGCGTCCCCACCACTTCCTCAGCGACTGCCACTAAAGTGCACCACGGAAGCCAGTCCTGCCTGAGCATCCAGGATTTCAGAAATGATTTTCAAACCACCTTTGTTGTCTCAGTTACCACCACAGTCTGTTCCCAGCCTCCCAGATCTGCAGGTGATGCTTGTCCAGTGAGCATCAGCAAGGGTGCAGACTCGGCGAGTGTTACCGCAACAGTGGCCCCTTCTGCCCCTGCAGGAGGGAAGACCACCACTCCTGTAAGCACTCTTTCTGCAAACCCTTTGGACAATAGTTGGACTCTTTCTTGTTCTTTGCCTTCTTCCAGTGTTAGTGCGTCGGATTTGAAAAACATTAATAGCCTTACCCGAATTTCCTCTGCTGGAAACACACAGACGACGTGGACTACTTTGCAACTGGCGGGAAACACTATTCAGCCCTTAAGCCAGACACCTTCTTCTGCAGTGACTCCGGTATTAAATGAGTCTGGTAGCAGCCCTCCCACGACCAGCCACAGTAGACACGTCGCTACGGGCGTCAACATGAATAATTCCTTTCCCGCAGACGGGCAGGTGGTTGAGCAAGTAGTTGTCACCTTGCCTTCTTGTCCATCTTTACCTATGCAGCCACTAATTGCCCAACCACAAGTTAAATCTCAGCCTCCAAAAAGTATCCTTCCATTGAATTCAGCAATGCAAGTGATTCAGATGGCTCAGCCAGTTGGGTCGGCTGTGAATGCAGCTACAGCTAATCAAAATGTTATCATTCTTCAGCCCCCCAGCACCACCCCTTGCCCAACAGTGATGAGAGCAGAGGTTCCCAACCAAACAGTAGGTCAGCAGATAGTGATCATACAGGCAGCTAATCAGAACCCTTTGCCGCTCCTCTCAGCTCCACCTCCTGGTTCTGTTCGACTCCCTGTCAGTGGAGCCAATGCTCTACTAGGGTCTAATAGTTCAGTGCAAAATGTTTCGACCCCCCAGACTTTTGGAGGAAAGCATCTTGTCCATATATTACCAAGACCTTCATCTCTATCAACACCTAGTTCAACACAAACTTTTTCTGTTACCATGTCAAACCAACAACAGCCTCAAACCATTTCTTTAAATGGACAGCTCTTTGCTTTGCAGCCTGTGATGTCCTCATCAGGAACTACAAATCAAACCCCTATGCAAATTATCCAACCCACCACCAGCGAAGATCCAAACACCAATGTTGCCCTGAATACATTTGGAGCTTTGGCCAGCCTCAATCAAAGCATATCACAGATGGCTGGGCAGAGCTGTGTACAGTTGTCTATTAGCCAGCCTGCCAATCCCCCAACTGCCGCAAGTAGTCAAACCATCCCAGTTCACAGTGTTTCATTAACAACAACGGTAGCATCTCCCATGACAACTGATAATTCAGCCACACTACCCAGTACTTATAGTCTGGTAACTACACCCTCAGTGAACACTGTAGCTTGTTTACCTAATGTGAAGTCAAAAAGGTTTAAGAAGCCAGGTGCCAAGAAACACTTAGCAGCTCACAAGTCCGCATGTCCCCCGAATCCAGTCAGAGAGGTGGGCAAGTTAGCCTGCCCTGGCACTGAAGCCACAGCAGAGCCGTCATGTGGTGATGGACTGCTGGAAAGCCTCCCTGTCGTGTTACCGTCTGTCACCATATCCCAGGCAAATTGTGTGAGTGTTTCTGGTTCACATTCTTTGGATGTTCTAAATCCTGAATCCGTGATACCCGAATCTGTACCCAAATCTAAGTCAACAGAAGAGTCTAGCTCACCCTCCCAAGCATCTGTAACGAGTGAACATTTTGTAATGGCCCCAGCAAAATCCAAAGATTCTGCCCCCATTCTGCAGCAAGAGGCATCTCAGGATAAGCCACCAGCTAGTTTGGCATTGTCAGATGCTGCCAAATCCTGCACTTCAGCCAGCGTGTTGATTCCATCTCCAAATGATCCCCACCTTTTGGTTTCTCAGGTTTCTGGGCTCTCATCCACCACTAGCACTACAAGCACTGACTGTGCTTCTGAGGTAGAAATCATTGCTGAACCTTGCAGGGTGGAGCAAGACTCATCAGATACGATGCAAACGACAGGTCTGTTAAAGGGGCAGGGTTTGACTGCATTGCTGTCTGGTCTTGCTAAAGAAAAAGACTCTCAGAAATTGTCTCTTTCGGTGCCGGTGGACCATCCTGACTTTCCTTCTGAAAATTCTAAAATGGCGGATTCAAGTGTCGATTTACATCCCAAACAGGAGCTGTTACTGATGAACAGTGATGACAGAGGTCCGGGGCAACACCACTCCTGCGTCCCTGATCAGGAGGTTATTAATGGCTCTTTGCTTGTCAGCAGGCAGGCCGACTCTCCCATGTCCACCAGCTCTGGCAGTAGTCGTAGTTTCTCAGTTGCATCCATGCTTCCTGAAACGACGAGAGAGGATGTCACCAGCAATGCAACAACGAATACCTGTGACAGCTGTACCTTTGTAGAGCAAACTGATATAGTTGCTCTTGCTGCAAGAGCTATTTTTGACCAGGAGAACCTTGAGAAGGGAAGAGCTGGCACCCAGGCTGATATGAGGGAGGTTACTTCAAAGCCTTCTGAAGCCTCACCTTTAGAGGGAGACCAGCCTTTCAAAACACAGATGTCTAAAGAGAGTGGCCCGGGACAGGCAGAAGCAACACCAAATGAATTTAATTCTCAGGACTCAATTGAAGCAACTGTGGATCGATCCCTCGGAAAACCAAGTTGTTCTGTAGGAATCAAAACATCAAATGCCTCTTTACAGGTTTCGACTTCTCAGCCACCAAGCATCACCAGTTTAAGTGTCAATAATCTTATCCACCAGAGCACCATCAGCCATCCTCTGGTCAGCTGTGCTGGTCTATCCCAAACCGCAGAGCAAGCACCTGTTCCGGCAACGGTTAATCTGACTGTTGCATCTAGTTCCTACGGTGGTCAGCCTCCCGGGCCAGCTCTGATGACCGAATATTCCCAAGAACAGCTAAACACCATTACTGGCACCATACCAAATCCACAGGTTCAAGAGCCACTCTTAAAGCCAAGTCAGGAAAGCCGCAAAGACTCCGCCAAGCGTGCTGTCCAAGACGACCTTTTATTGTCTTCAGCTAAACGTCAAAAGCACTGTCAGCCAGCCCCGCTGAGGCTTGAAGCTATGTCGCTGATGAACCGCACTCCGGACAGCATTTCTGATCAGACTCAGATGATGGTCAGTCAGCTCCCTCCCAACTCTGCAAACTCTGTTGTGCCTATTAGCAACCCAGCACATGGAGATGGCCTCGCACGATTATTTCCACCGAGTAACAATTTTGGGGCCCCTGCATTGAGACAAACGGAAGTTCAATGCAGTTCTCAGAATTCAGTTACCGAGCAGCAGCAAACCCAGGCCAGTCAACATCTCCAGGCCCTGCAACAGCATGTTCCAGCCCAAGGGGTATCTCACCTGCACGGTAACCACCTCTACTTAAAGCAGCAGCAGCAGCAGCAGCAGCAGCAGCAGCAGCAGCAAGCAGGACAGTTAAGAGAGAGGCATCACTTGTACCAACTGCAGCGTCACGCGCCTCATGCAGAGAGCTCTGTCCACTCTCAGCCACATAACGTCCACCAACAGAGAACTCTCCAGCAGGAAGTCCAGATGCAGAAAAAGAGGAATCTCGTTCAGGGCACTCAGGCCTCTCAGCTTTCCTTACAACCAAAGCACCACGGAACTGACCAGTCCCGCCCCAAGAGTGGTCAGCCACATCCCCACCATCAGCAGATGCAGCAACAGATGCAGCAACATTTTGGAAGTTCCCAGCCAGAGAAGAGTTGTGAAAACCCTTCGACCAGCCGGAGCCACCACAACCATCCCCAGAACCATCTCAGTCAAGATATGATACACCAGCAACAGGATGTTGGAAGCAGGCAGCAAGGTTCGGGGGTTTCTTCTGAACATGTATCTGGGCATAATCCATTGCAGAGGCTTTTGACTTCAAGGGGCATAGAGCAACAAATGGTGTCCCAGCCCAGTATCGTGACTAGGCCTTCAGACATGCCCTGTACTCCACACAGGCCAGAGAGAAATAGAGTTTCAAGTTATTCTGCCGAGGCACTTATTGGAAAGACATCTTCTAACTCAGAGCAGAGAATGGGCATGTCACTTCAGGGTTCCAGAGTTTCAGATCAGCTTGAAATGAGAAGCTATCTTGATGTTCCCAGAAATAAGAGTTTGGCCGTTCACAATATGCAGGGTCGCGTGGACCATACTGTTGCCTCGGATATCCGCCTTACTGACTGTCAGACGTTTAAACCAAGTGGAGCCAGTCAGCAGCCCCAGAGTAATTTTGAAGTACAGTCTTCAAGAAATAGTGAAATAGGTAACCCGGTATCATCATTGAGGAGTATGCAGTCCCAGGCTTTTCGAATTAGTCAAAACCCTGGTCCACCACCAATCGACCGCCAAAAGAGATTATCTTATCCACCAGTTCAGAGTATTCCGACAGGAAATGCCATCCCACCAAGGGACAGTGAGAACACATGCCACCAGAGTTTCATGCAGAGTTTACTTGCCCCTCACCTTGGTGATCAGGTCCTTGGAAGCCAGAGATCACTCTCAGAACATCAGAGGAACACACAGTGTGGTCCATCCTCTGCAATTGACTATAATTGTCCCCCAACCCATGAAAGTGTCCATATTAGAAGAGAGAGTGACAGTCAAAACAGGGAGAGTTGTGACATGTCCCTAGGTGCGATTAACACCAGGAACAGCACCCTGAATATTCCTTTCTCAAGTTCTTCTTCTTCAGGAGATATTCAGGGTCGAAACACAAGTCCCAATGTGTCTGTACAGAAGTCCAATCCCATGAGGATAACTGATAGTCATGGGACCAAGGGCCACATGAACCCTCCGGTCACAACCAACATGCATGGGGTTGCAAGGCCAGCTTTGCCCCATCCGTCTGTGTCTCACGGAAATGCTGAACAAGGGCCTCCTGTACGTCCAACTAACTCTTCAGTTCCCCAGCGATCAAGGCATCCCTTGCAAGACAGCAGTGGTTCCAAAATTCGTCAACCTGAAAGGAATCGTTCCGTAAACCAAAGACATAGTAATGTCTTTGACCCAAGTCTTCCCCATCTTCCTCTGTCCACTAGTGGCAGTATGATTCTTGGACGCCAACAAGCCGCTACAGAGAAGAGAGGAAGTATTGTTCGTTTCATGCCCGATAGCCCACAAGTACCTAATGATAACTCAGCGCCTGACCAGCATACACTATCACAAAATTTCGGTTTTCCTTTTATTCCCGAGGGTGGCATGAATCCACCAATAAATGCTAATACTTCTTTCATTCCACAGGTTACTCAGCCTAGTGCCACTCGAACGCCAGCTCTTATCCCTGTAGATCCCCAAAATACTCTGCCCTCCTTCTATCCCCCCTACTCCCCTGCTCATCCTACGCTGTCTAATGATATTTCCATCCCCTATTTTTCTAATCAAATGTTCTCAAATCCCAGCACTGAGAAAGTAAACAGTGGAAGCTTAAATAACCGATTTGGATCAATTCTGTCTCCTCCTAGACCTGTTGGTTTTGCTCAACCAAGTTTTCCTCTGCTCCCTGACATGCCGCCAATGCACATGACCAATTCTCACTTGTCTAACTTTAATATGACATCTTTGTTTCCAGAAATAGCTACAGCTCTTCCCGATGGCTCGGCAATGTCACCTTTGCTTACAATAGCAAACTCCGCTGCCTCTGACTCTTCCAAGCAGTCCTCAAACAGACCTGCCCACAACATAAGCCATATTTTAGGTCATGACTGCAGTTCAGCTGTTTAAATACTGATAGACTAAATGTAAATGTATCGGGTGAGATTACAAATGTGTTTGTGTGTGCATGCGCACACAATGCACATGGTGAGGGAGGTGGTGTGTGTGTGTGTGTGTGTATGTCTTTGTGTTTGTGTAATCAGTTTCCAGTTATCTTCCGAATGTAGGGAAGCCACGTCAGAGATGATGCGAATACTGGGTTGCCAGCAACAAACTATCTTTCATTTTTAACTGCACGGTGTGCTTTTTAAGTTTTTCAAGCGGAATTGCATTTTCAAGTTTGATTTGTAATCTTATATTCCCTAAATACTTACCAGCTGGAAGTTGGGGGAAAATCCCTTTGGCATGTGTGGGGTAGTAGGAAAGAACCTAGATTTTAAATTTGATTGCTGATCATTTGTCAAATAGATAACTTGAGGTATTTGAGTTGCTCTCCAAAAATAGACACTTTTGATATAACGCAGTGGCTCATCACCAAGTGCTTGGCTGATGACAGCATCTAGAACAGTTTCTTGCCCCCGGCAGGTGTTGAATTAATGTAGAATGAATGTCCATGGTTCAAATCAAGCAGTTAGCAAATAAATGAGTTGCTCGATCAGCCTTTACTCCCAAGGTTTGCTGTAGGTAGAGGCTTCTTTCTTAATGATAACAATGCCTAAGCTATCTGAATTTTAATGTCTCATTCTTCAAATTAGGGAGCCATGTTATCTTTCAGTGTGCCAAGATCCTGGAAAGCAAAGGTCTTCCTTACTTAGCCTTAAAAATAGCAATCTGAAAAGCAAAGTACATAGACTTTGTCCATTTTGTGCTTGCATTTTTGCATCAGGTCCTAAGGATAAAAGCAGTTGTATTGCAGAATTTTACATGTGTTTTGGCAAAGATTGTTGCTTCATTGGTTGAACTTTGTTTTCAACATTTTCTTCATTCTATTTATTTGAGCTCGAAATGCTTTCTTTTATATTTGTTAATCATTAGGGACTGCTCAGTAAATAGTGTGTTTGGAATTTACACAGTTATATGAGCCTTACTTTTTAAATATTTCTGAGCAGAGTCTTAAGCTCTGTCAGTGTTTTCATTTATTGATATTTATATTTAAAAGATGGCATTGTATGTTACATTATTACCCCTCATAGTAGAATTGTAATGAGAAGGCGAATTTGTTCATTATTTTTCCTGATGGTAGATGTGAAATGGTGCTTCAAAAAATTGTCTCTGTATATGTCTCTGTGTGTGAGTGTGTGGGGGGAGGGGGAGAAGGGGGACAGAACACAGACATAGATTTGAAAATATAAACTGGTCCTTTAAAAATTGGCCTGCCATCTGGAAATGGAAATTGAGACCTGAGACCTGCTGAAGTATTGGAAAACTGGATGTTAGGGTTTTTAAAAGCCCCACAGAAGTTAATTATGTATACACGCACACACACACACACACACACACACACACACTCATATATTGAATTTTGAAAACTTAAAAAAAAAAACCTCTGAAAACAACCGTATATACTCATATTCTCAAACCTATTACTTTTTGTTGTTGTTATATTCTGCCAAATATAGGATCAAGTGGGAGAGATACATATAACATGGTTCTGTCTGCTCTGTTAATAAAGTAAACCCAAGAGCCAGCATTTTATTTTTTCCTCCTTAAAAATGCCTCCTCAGGCTGGGTCAGAGCTGTTAACTCTGGCGAATACCTCTTGTGAAGACTCAGTGGAAGGGTCACGTGTGCCTCTTGAACTGTTCTTACCAAACTTTCCTCCCTCCTCCTGCTGCTGACTGAAGCAGCCTCCTGGGAGCAAGAAAAAAAAAATGTAAACAAGAAAAGCTTCTGTATTTTCTCCTTCAAAATACTCATGGGGAAGAATAGGAGTTACTTAAATAAGACAACAGATAAACAAAGTAGTTAAAACTTTTAATTGAGGGGAAACATAAGATTTATGGCTTGTTTTTAATTGAGTTTTAGGTTGTAACATTCAAGTTTTTCTCTGTACTTGAAAGGTCCAGCCTGCCAATTTCAAGAAAGGTAGTGTTCAATATGTTTGGTTATTCGTTCTCCCTTCCTCCGTCTCTGTCTCTCTGTCTCTGACACACACACACACGCATGCACGCACGCACGCACGCACAGCGTGGTGGCTATTGAGTCCTGAAGAACTGGGCACTGTTAGATAGAATGAAGGTAACAGGCTAAGGAGAAGATCAATTTGAACATTGCAATAGAAAGGCCTCAAAGCCTGGCACTTTCAGATATTTCTCTGTTGCATTGATTTTATTTTTCTGCTCAGCCCTGTTCAGAGATAGCGATTACATGTTTCAGAGCTTTCATTCCAAGAATGTACTTTGATCTCAAATGAACCCCTACCCCTAAGTAAGGCTTATTTGACCCTCTGAAGAAAGATATGACTCTCTGCAAATAATTTGGCTCCTGCTTACATGTAGCTCTAATTATCTTACAGACATGTGCATATATATGTAAGAGATCATTGTATATATGGACTCAGTTCTGAAAGTGTTCAGAGAAGAGTAATCTTATTTGATTTAAAAGCATGAGTGTACAAGATTTATCAGCAGTATATTATTTGATAATTAGAGCTAAATGATTTTGGGGAGGAATTTTATTTAATATCTAGCAATCTCTGGATATAATTTTTGGCAAAGGTACTGCAGAAAACAGTCAAATAGTAAACTTTAATGTTATTCTTGGCTTGCTCATATATGACTATAGAATGTAAAACCATTTCCACAGATAATTTTGTAATTTATGAAAATACACAAACATACAAACCTGTGAATCATAAATAAGAGTCATTAATTAAATTGTTTTTTCTCTCTTTTAGTGTTACTGATCACATAGAATCAATTAGAGAAAGTAGTTGACTCTGACCATTTAACACAGTAACTTCTAATGAAGTGAAAAATTTCAGATACTTCATCCTGTATAAACTTCTAATATGTCAATCATGGATAAAAGAAATCAAGTTTGATGTCATTTCTCTTTTTGGGATATTTTATACCATTTCAGGAAATTTATTTTTGTTTATATCATAAGACCTTTTGGGGGGACCATGGATGGCATCTTTTTTCTAAGTAAGGAGCCACATCCCCCAGTGATCATGCTTTATAAAATTTAACGTATTAGAACTGTGGAAAGAGAAGAATGAGGAGGGAATATTCTTTTGCAGCAATTTCCATTTACGTATCAGGGTGAACTGCAATAAAGATCCATTTTTAAAAATCAGCCTTCTTAAAATACAAAATTATTTAAACATTCTAAAGATAATTCATTTGCCTTGCTCTTGCCTTCTAACATTATCCATATCATGGAAAGGCTGAAATTCATACCCCAAAAAAATGTGGAAACGTGTTTTAATGGAGGTAAGGTTGTAAAATTTTGAGAAAGGATAAAGACTCACTAATAAGCATCTTCTCAGCTTTGTCCTCCCTTTGATTGATAGGTACCGAGGCTCCTCTTTTCTTCCATCTGCTGCGAGTCAGCAGGTGGCAGGGAACCTGCTCATTTCCTTAGGATGATTACTTCTCTGCCTTGAAATGTTTTTGGGGCCCACCCATCTATTGGATCATTGTGTGACAGTGAGTCATGCTCCTATATCAGTGAGTCCCAGTTCCTGGCTTTGGGAACCACTGTATCTCCTATTCTATCAAGAGGTAACAAGAATTTCTTGAAACAAAGTTAGTTCAGAATTAATTTAAGATACTGAATGTGCCATACAGTTAGTTCTCTTCCTTGTTTTGATGAGCTTGCTTTGTGTTTGTTTTTGCTTTTCCTCATGGAGGAGTTTAGAAAGCTCAAAGGTGGGACCCAAATCAGATGGCTTTGGGTTGATACTTTAGGAACCTGGAGGTCGTACTTCTGTTGTCTGTATAAATTCTGCCTTTGCCTGGAGCTAATTGCCTATGGCTGTGTATATCCAGAGGGCAATAATAATAGCCAAATAAACTAGTGTGAAGTTAATCTGTGAGTGATGATTTTATGATACCTATATGCAAGTTAAAGGCCAGAAACTCATTCCTTCTTGAACTACCTTTTTTTGGCCAAATGCTATGAACAGAAAAGGGTCCTTTTCTTTTTTTGACTTAACCATACTTTGTCTGCATTCTACACCTTCCTGTGTGAGCTTGACAGTGTTTTTACCGGAGTCTGTGGGGGACACCAAGTTTGGATCGGGGCAGTCCAGCATGAGGCCCTTCTTGGACACAGAGCTTCTAGTTCTGCCCACATGCCTCTATCCTGGTACTGCACTTTACTTGAAACTGTGCCTCTGGTCCTAAGACCAGCCATTGGAACATATTACCCACTCCTGTGTTACATAGCAAAGGACCAGTCGGAATGGTACGTGCTGTGTAGTCAAACACCTAGAAGACAAGAACAGCTGATGTTTCTCACTGTTGCCTTATCATTCTCTGAGCCATCTTTGATGCCGATCTTGTAAAAAGTGTACTAGAAGCAAAACTCCTTTTAAACTCAGAGCTTGTAGGTGGTGGTCATTCAACATCCTTGTTTCTGTATTTGCACAAACCCTATCCACTGCAGGGGTCTGGTGCACGCATGTGTTCAGATGCTTCATAAACATGAGCCAACTTGGGTTGAAAGTGGATATAATATTCAAATTGGTGTTATTTTGGATGATAATCTGCATAATCTGTCACTAGAGATCTCATGAGACATAGAAGACAACTCTTCATTTGTAACTTAACACTTTTAAAGAAGATGATCATAAGTTGTGGGGTTTTATTTATTTTTTTTGGCTCAGTTGTGTATACAGCTTGACACCATATGATGTCCTAGGAACTTAGAGCTTGCTCCATCTAACTCCTTCTTCACTTCTCTGGATCTCTTTACCCCCATCCCTCAAGTCTTAAAACCATTTTCATCTGTGAGGTCATTGAGGCACTGGACTTGACTATATTGGTAACCTTTAAGGGAGTTAAACTGTTGATCTTCCAAGAAGAAAGGGACCAGACAGTGTTGCTTAAGATGCTGCAGTTGTG